GGTAGAAGACAATGTTTTGTCTATCCGGTTCACCCTGTCCCTCCAAGCATTGGAGAAAGGCACCCACAGTTCATTTTGACGACTTTCCAAGTCAACACAATTTATCCGGTGCTGCTGGATTATGTGTCTGACACGGAGGATTTTCGAGCCACTTTTCTGTTCTACTTTCTTGGCTATCCCGATGTCCACGGCATTTTTGTGCAAGCCATCCCCATGAACCAGTGTGTTTGGCTGACTGAATGTACTGTGCACATGGTAACTGCCAATGGTGTCCAGATCTATGAGTGGGGGCAGATTGTACCGCTGTTTCGAGGGGCTTTCATCACTCTCCATGAGAGTGATCCGCATGATGATGCCAGCGACTCGACCTGCAGCTCGAATCATGATGGTGCCTGCAGTAGCACGGATTCAGAGGACTCCTTTCGAACCGGACATCCTGCTGGACAAGAGGTTCTGATGACTGATGAGACGACCATTTTAATGCAGAGGTCTTTGACGCTGAGAGAAAACACTGCAACTCTCGAGAGACCTACCGCCGATGACTTATGGACTCTTAGGAATGGAGTCATTGCCAGTTATGCGATTTTACACTATGAAGATGCGCTGGCTGAGTATGTCTATAAAGCAACTGGTCGCTCTTGGATGCTGCATCGCTCGGTTCAATCTTGGGTGGTCACTTATGTGTACCAACTTGGATATGTTCCACGGTTTTGCACTCCTGCACAAGATTTGTCCTTGACCAGATGCCTGCTTGACACCTGGTATGATATTACGAATGGTGAAGAGATTGGATTTGCTCAGGAACTTTCAGGGGCGATTAGGATGCGTGACGACATGGTCTTCAATGTGCTTGGTGCGCCGCTCTCCAAATTGAGACTGGGATACCGGGTATATCTGATCACGGGCTGGCCTGACCCCATACCGAGTACGATTGCTCTCCTCTGCAGTGGAACAGAGACTGTGTATGATCTTATACTCCGATTCGGGTACAGTGAACGTTGCAGGAACAGACGATGCTTCCTTTTCCAGGACAGAGGAGGCCTAAACCCTGTATGGGCCCTTGGGGATATTGTCAATGAAGATCATGGCTCTAGTTTCTCGCTTCTTTATGAAGAACCAGATGCTTGTCATCAGACAGACCCCATCGGACCAAGAACGTCCTCCCGATGGAGCTCTGAGGCACAAGAGGGAGATGAATTCATCGGTATGCAGCTCCCATGGACAGATGCTTTTGCAGCTGAGGACCTAGACCTACATGCGAGACTTGGTCTGCGGCCAAATGCGCTGGCTGAGCATGTACTGTGGCCTCACAATGGGCAAGTCCTGATTGATCCTATGGCTGGCCGAGAGGATGATCCTCTTTCGATCTACCTCATGACCCTCCGGCCAATGCACCATTTTCCTGTCCACTCAATCACGACCTGGATGGGGACGGGTGAAATTGTGCTCACTGCGCGAGATTGCGCCTTTGTCAAGGATCGACCTTTCACTCGGGCATTTCTTTTGGAGTGGGAGGATTTCCATGAGGAAGGTCCATTCCTGATTGCGCTGGTACACCCAGAGATGCCTCCTTTGAGTCTGCGAGTCTCATCACTGCACCTTGTTAGCCTGACAAGACGCCAGCAAGCTGCACAGGATAGAATCTTTTTGATTGACATCCTCTTTCAAGGGCTTCCGCGAAGAACTGCTGTCCGTGTGTCCGTTGGAGACACAGTCAGAGAGGTGGTACGAAGGCTTGATCTTCTGCATCTTTGTGGTCCTACGCGATACCGCTGTGTTTTAACGCAGTATGAAGGGTCGAAGGAGTGGAATCTCTTTGATATCATTGAGGAGCCGCATGCGACGAGTTTCAAGCTCTTATTCCGAAACCATGGCAGAGAGGCGCTGTGTCAACGATCTGTCCCAGAAGCTCAACCAGCCGATCTGACCAGCCTGATGCAAGGAGCTGCCAACCCACCTACTCCTCTGACCTTGTATTTACGAGGTTGGAGTCATGCCAAAGGAGCTGCAACGTTCTGGGTGCATTGCCGTGCTGATGTTATGGTACAGCAGTATTCGGCTATCTGCAGTTTTGATTGGCCGAGTCTGGCTGACGAGCAGTGTGAAAGCCTATGGCAACATTGCCGTCCATGGCAAGAGCTCAATGTGGTCCCTGTGGACCCGCCGCCAGTGTTTCTGGTATTGCCGCGACCACATGTGCTGATTATTGGAAGTCCCATAGGTGGTGACTTGCCGATTCTTTGTCAGGTACATGAAAGAGGGCGGCATAATTTGGTCTCTGTGCTGGTGCCGTACCGGTCTCCTGATATTGCAGTGGCGACTCTTTTCCACCTTGCAATCCCACAGCATGACTGCGAGTTCGGGTCCCAATGCTATGTGGTTCATGATGATGAGAGATTCCTGTACAGGCACGAATTGCGGTTACATCAAGGAGCTTTTCTTAAGCTTTATGAAGTTGCTCGTACGGAGTCCGACTATGACCCTACATGCAGCGGGGACTCAGAGGACAACCAGTTGTCTGATGCCTTGAGTGTGACGAGTGACCCTGACTCTGGGCTGGGCACTGCCTCTGAGCTGGGCCCGATATCAGATTCTTTGATCTTTGAGGACTTTGCTAGCCTGATGCAGCGACACAGTGCTGACCTGACAGAGAACTCTGACCCCCCCGACGACATTGTCCACACGTCGGACTGATTCGGAAGACTTCTGTGATGGTTCTCATGTTAGAGGTCCAATTGAGCAAGCCCCACACTATCAGAGCCAGATGCAGCAAATTGAGACTCTCCGTTTGTGGTTATTAGATCTGATTGGATCTGATCCCCAAGTCACCCTTTTTGTTTTTGAAGGTTTGGGAGCAGATGTTGCTACACATCAAGTGGTTTTTCCACGAGCTGTCTTGCAAGAAGAGGGAGGATTCCCTCCATGGCTGCAGCGTGAACTTCGCTCCTTATGGCGTGGGCAAGCTCGGATCTTTCCTCTCCAGTCTGCGCCTTATGTTGACTTACGGATTGCAGTGCTGTTGCAAGCTGCCTTTGGCCATGAGTTACCTGTCTTGCTGGAGATCCACGAACAACAGGACACCTGGAGGGAGATCCATGTGGTGACTCAGGCTGTGACAGTCAACAGCCTCATCTGGAGGTCACGCTTACCACCGATTGTCCCGGAGACACAACATTATCAGGTGGCTCTTTCTGGGGAACAAGCTGACCCAGGCGACCTGATCCCCTGGGTACCAGGGCAATGGCTGAGTGTTATTGTTGGGCCATTAGGGCAGTTCAACGGAGAGGGCACCACTGTGTCGTCATTGGGCCCATCGTTGCCTTCTTTGAGTACTTTTGTTGCTAGTCAAGTGGCGTCGTCGTCTCTTGAAATGCATGGTGCTGATCCCTTGGATGATGCGATCCAAGATACGGCAGGGAGGCCTCGGTCACCTGATATCGGGGAATCTGACTACCCTAGGGTGACTGAGGATGATGCCTCATTTCTCTTTCAAGCCCAGGTCCGCAGCAGATCCAGTCAATGGATTCGTGGTCCACGATCCTGGCTTGATCGAGAAGAGCCACTACAGAGTGAGCGAAGTCGATTCCTTGAATGGCGGCGGCAGATTGACTTCACTCGAAGAACTACAGATTTTTACAGTTTTGAATACTTCTCGAATGAAGCTGTCGCGATTTGGACTGCAAGAGAACAATGGCCTGACTTTGTGATCTACTCGACCAAAGATGAGAGAATCACTCATTGGGGCCTTGCGGTTGATCAGTTTTTTGTCCTGGAGAGATATGAGTTTACCACCATCGTCCGAGACTATCTTCGCAGTGCCATTCCTTTCCATGTAAAGGCCGTATTGATCCCTGTGAAACCGTGGCCGGGTCTTCATGAACAATATGGAGATGACGATCTCTTTCTACTTGTGGATGAAGATCCTTTGCAAGATGCTATCCCAGTCATGATCAGTCTGTGGATTCGTGATGGGGATCGTGCCCCGGAATTGACGGCCAGACGACTGCCTCTGCGGGTGACGACGCTGATGCTATTGCAAGTGTCCGGTGTTGAAGAGATCTGTGCACACCAACTTTATCATTGTGAAGTGAGCCATTTTGCACAAGAACTTCCTCGATGGATGCACTGGAAGCCATTTCCTGGCATGAAGATCGATATCACTGTTGATCTGCTCAGCCCGAGACAATGTGACCTGTCTCATATGGAATCTGGTGAGGATATAGTGATGGTTACCGATGATATTTCCATGATGCAATCGAGCTCCAGTTCGATGAGACGGGTGCCACGGGCCAGTGACATGGACCCTATGCTCCCTCTCCGATCTGTGCATACTTGGCATGGGTCCTTCCTGGTTCCGAATCCTGCGAAAGATCAGGTGCGTATTGGAATCAGGATGACTATGCCGGGTAGTTTGGAGATGCTTGCTTCCTTTGATTTTCTTTGCTGGGGAGTTGTCTCAGCGACCGCTATGTCTGTGACCTTGCGAAAGGTCCTTTTGAGAGAGGGCAGATGGGATGAGCAATTCCAAATTGCGGTGTCTGAGATGAACATTCCCCAGCCGACCCGCCTTGTTCTTGTTGCGGCTCAGCCGATTGAGAGTCCTTACAAGCACATGCTGGCTATGACAGATGATCTTTTCCATAGCGGCTACCGATTTTTTTCTCTTCAATTGGCCGATACAGCAAACAGATTCATTTGGAGTGGTGCCATGCCCTGAGATTTGTACTTTTGATTTCCTTGAGTCCTTTCTTGGCGTGAATGAGCACTGCACCGACTATGTTTGTATTTTACGCTGTTTTGTGCCGAGAGGAGCAAGTACATATACAAGCGGTGAAAAGGTGACGATGCCTACTGGAACCTTTTGCCGATTTGATCTCTATACATCAGACGAGGTTGCGTGTGTTCCCTTTGTGCCTGAGGGAGGTGTGCAGCTTCTACAAAGAAGTGTCATATTGACCCGGATGAGCTGTGCGGACTCTACTTTTTGTAGAGGGCCTACCGCTGGTCTGCCGCCACCAGGTAATCCTGAGCGGACTGATGACCTGCGAACCCATTGGATCAGCACCGACCTCCAGAAGTTGGATGACTGGAACATTGGTGAAACTGAGATTTTTGTCTTTGATTTCCCGATTGCTACATTGCGCCTGGCTGACTGTGTCTTGCCTTGCAGTGCGACGCAGAAAGAAGTGCTGACGTTGGCCGATAAGATCAACGGATGCGATATTCAGATGCCTGATTTCGAGCCTTTGTACCAAAGCCTCCGTAGACCTTGGGTGAATGCGGACATTCGATGGACCCCTTTTGTGAGCCAGCTCTCGGCTGAGCTACAGACAGAAGCTGCTGATCTGCGCTTGGACCCTCCCCTATCTGTGGATAGCATCGAGATATTCACTGATGGGTCCTTCTCGAGAGCTTCTGACGATAAGATGGCTGGGTGGTCGTTGCTGGTTTTGGGATATTGTGCATCTGAGAGGCACATTATTGACTATGACTGGGGCTTAGTCCAGATTGATCCGATGAATCCAACGTGGACAGGAGCTGACTGCTCTAATGCCAAATCAGCTGAGGGTGCAGCTCTGATCAGAGCTATTGAGTGGTTGTTTGCACACCCGCAGATATGTACTTGCCGATTGCGCTTTGATTCGCAATTGGCTGGTTTTTTCAGGCAGTGGAAGCTACCATATCCACCCATCTGATCGACAACTGCGGCTTCTCCGGGCACTTGTCCAAGCCTATGAAGAATCGACAGTAAAGGAGTCGTGTTTATGCTGGGAACACGTCAAAGGGCATGCTGGGTTCTTGGGGAATGAGCTTGCTGACCTCTTTGCTAAACATGCTTTTGACGCCCAACAAGAACTCCGAGAGCAACACAGGCCTGATTATGCCCCCCTACGTCTTTGGCTACCGATTCCCGATTGAGAGCTTCTGGTTGTATTTCCGG